CTCACGAGGAACGGGCGTCTGCCTCATTGGAGGCTTTCCAGCAGCTTGTAAATGTTGACCTTCGCAGCACTTGACACTGTCATCAATACTGTCCACCTGGAATATCTCACTTCTCCAGGTATTTCGTCTCTCCTGGCCTTCCTCCTACCTGCAGCATTGTTCCTTTTCAGTCTCTTTTGCTGGATCACCATCCATGCCCCTCCTTCTTTCTATAGATGTATCCCAAGGCTCTATGAAATTAAAAGACATTTGCTCCTTGGACAGAAAGCTCTGGCAAATCTAGACCACGCATTAAAAAGCAGAGACATCACCTTGCTGACAAAGGGCCGTAGAGTCAAAGCTATGGTTTTCTAGTAGCAACGTACGGCTACGAGCGTTGGATTGTAAGGAAAGCTGAACACCCACAGAATCGACACTTTCAAACTGTGGTGCTGGAGAAGACTTTTCAGAGTCTCTTGCACAGCAAGGTCAAATCAATCAATATTTAAAGAAATTAATTAACAGGAAGGCCAAATACTGAAGCTGAAACTTAAATACTTTGGCCACATAATGAGAAGACAGGATTCATTGGAAAAGACCCTGACGTTGGGAAAGATTGAAAGCAAGAGGAAAAGGGGGCAGCAGAGGATGAGATGTATAGATGGTGTCATGGAAGCAATGAACATGATCTTGGACAGACTTTGAGAGATAGTGAAAGACAGAAGGACCTGGTGTGCTATGATCCATGGGATCCCAAAGTTGGACACAACTTAACAGCAACAATAACAGGACCCTTTCCTCGGCCTCCCTCTCCCTATTTTTCTCTCTGTCTGCAAACATATCAGCTCCTGTGGTTTTGACTGTTATCTCTATGCAGATAATTCTCAGATCAATGTATCTAGCCCTTGTCTCTCTTCTGAGCTCCATCTACTATCACCAGCTGCCTCCTGGGTGTCTATCCGTTAGCGTCTCAAACTCAACATGTCTGAAATAGAGCCCGATCTTACTCCCCACAAATCCGTACAGATGTGGAGGGTAAGAGCATCCCTGGTGTCATTCCAAAATCTTCAATGCTCCTGAACTCTCCAGGGCCAATCAGTTGCCAAATCCTATCTCTATCTTCACAACTCAGTACAATTGAACACAGCCCTTCTATCTGCCCCTTTCTTTTTCCTCACCCAGTCCCCAACCTCATTCAGACCTTCTCATGCAGGCTAATGTGGTCCCTTTCGAATGGTTCTTCCTGGCTCCAGTCTCTCCTCTCTCCATTCTAGCCCTTCACACAGTTGCCAAATTATATTCCTAAAACTCTGTTCTAACCACGTCACTCTTCCACTCAAAAAGCTCCAGAGACTCCCTGTCATCTCTAAAATAAAACACAGACTCCTCTGTTTGGCACCTAAAGCCCTTTCCAGCCTGGCTCTAATCTACCTTCTCAAATTGATTCCCTATTACCCTGCCTCCCCCATCCTTCATTCCAGCCAACTGGCCACTTGCTGTCCTTTGTATACCACCTTATAAATGCTGCTTCTGTGGCTCTGAACACAGCACTCCCCAGTCTTGAATGCACTCCCTCCTCCCCTCTGCCTCTTAGTAGCCATGGCTTATTTTAAAACTCATCTCAAGTGCTACCTACTGCATAAGGCCTTTCCAGATCTCCCTGGGGAGTCAGTGGTCTCCTCAAACCCTGAAATTATGTTGTAGATGTTTTGTGTTCATTTAAGAAAGGCAGCGTGGCATGGTGGATGGAGAGCCAACCTCAGTCAAGAAGACCTGAGTTCACATGTTACCTGACACATACCACCTGTGTGACCCTGTGAAAGTCACTTAATGTCTCATTACCCTAGACAACTTTCTAAACTGAAGACGTAGCATATGTTCTGATTGGCAATGGCAGGCTGGGTCTGAAGAAGAAGGCTACTGCATTCCTTCAGGGCTCTAGAGTGAACCCTGAGAGTGCAAAGGTCTTTTAGTACTCAGGTCTCATGAGCTCCCAGGAGTGTAAGTCCTCATATGATTATCAGTTGATAATAATTCTCCACACTTAGTGTTTAGAAACTGGTGTTAATGAAGGCAATGGTGTCAAACTCAAATAGAAATAGGAGCCATTAAACCATACATGACAATCACTTTGGGCTACATATTCACTTAGAAAACTACATATTAACATTATTTCTTTTCTATTGTATTTTTATTTATTTTATTAATTATTTTCCAATTACATTTTAATCTGATTTGGATGGCACTTGGGAATGTTGGGAGCCTGTTTGACACCTCTGAATTAAGCTATCAAGGCCTAGCATCTTAACACTTTAAATGAGGGTAACTGACTGACTCAATGACTTACCCTTACACAGAAAAGGGGCTAATCCTGCCTTGGTAGAGGGGCTGTTTCACCTAGGAGTTCTCTATTTCAATGACATCATAAGTCTAATCCATGTCCCCATAGTTTAGATTCATTTATTATTTATATTCTTTTATATTTATATTAATTTATCTGAGTTCACACTGTTCCCCTCATTTATATTATTAGCTCCTTGAAGGCAAGGATTATTTTGTTTTGTTTTGTTTTATATCCCCATCACTTGGCACAGTTAACTGGCACATAGTAGGTACCACTAGCACTTGTGAAATTGTAGTGAATGACCACTGTTTCGGAATCCCTTGGACTCAGTCCATTTTGTCTCCACTCTTTCCAAGTATTTCTAGTGATAATAGCTAGCATTTATATGATGTCTACTATGTGCCAGGCACTGTGCTAAGGGCTTTAAAAATATTTTCTCATTTAATTCTCAGGACCTTATAGTGGTAGGAGCATTTTACAGATGAGGAAACTGAGGCAAACAAGTGCTTGCCCAGGGTCTGATTTGAACTCCTGATTCTAGGCCCAGCACTCTACCCACTGCCCCACCTAGGGTTCAAATCTATGGCCTTTGACTCAGAAGAACTGGGTTCAAATCTGGACTCTTTTACTTACTCCTATGTGACCTTAAGCCAAGTCATTTCACCTCTCTGAGCCCCAGTTCCCTGATTTGTGAAACTGGGGGTGCTGAAGGTCCCTTCCAGCCCCAGATCTGTGATCCTGCAACCCATACCTAGGGTTCTCTGGGAAGGACAGCAGTCCACAGCCGATCTTCCTAAAAGCCCAAACAAGTGAGTAATGCAGGAGCACCCTCTGATCAGAAACTCCCTATTTATCCCCTTGATATCACTCCCAGAAGGGCAGGGAGGTGCCCTCTCATTTTATCAGGTCCTGTGCAGGCCATCTTGTTTTATTTGGGGAGGAAGCCAGAAAGCTCTATTTTAAAACCTTTGAAGGAACAAACGAGGTAGCTTCTGAGCTTTCTCCGAAGAATCACAACCACACATATCTTTATGTAATGCATGAAGGTAAATCAGTTCTCTCTGCCTAGCCTTCCCTTTCCCCTTCCAAGAATCCCAGGCAAAGCAGCCCCTGTCTCCACCTCTGAGCTCCCTTATACATTTCTCTCTACAATCTGGGTTCTCCCACTTTCTCCTCTATCCTCATCAACCCTCGAGTTCAGCTCAGGAGAATCTCAGTGCTTAAATGCTTTTTTCTTTGGGAAGTCTGTTTTCTCCTTTACTCCTTGAGGGAAATCTCAGCTGCTCACCCCTCAGGGAGCTGGCAAAATGCTGAAAGCTCAGGAATGCCTGCAAATGTGCGCTTACTGATGAAGTCCCAGGGTGCAGTTCTGAAAACCTCCTCTTCGGGAGGAAACCAGCACATACACACCCTGTCCACGTCCTCCTCTGCCCTGGGCTGAAAACCGGCAAGAGATAACCTGAGCAGAGGTTAGTCTATTCTTGTTTTCATCCCCTTGGTTAGTAGTTACCAAAGGGTAATGAGGAATATCTGCTCCCACACCATTAGGAAGTATCATTCCTAGGCAAGGAATTGGGGGGAGGGGAGGGGAAGGGGGTACGGGGAGGCCCTCGGAGAGTGGGAAGGTGCTGACTAAGGGATTCTGGCTGCCAAGCATTGGACAGGCAGGGGTCGGCCGTGGACTGCCACCAGCTACCTTCACCCACCCTCCTGCTGTCGATGCCCTTTGTCCCCACCGCAGAGGCCACTTTTGAAATGTCCCTCTAGGAAGCTGGATAATTAGGCTTACAACTCGGTATGCTGGTTCAAGATGATGACTCAGCATTCTCTACCACCACCTCCCACTCCCCTTTTTGGCTTCTGGCAGCAAATCTGCCTACCCCTCAACATAGCTCCTCCTCAAGCCGCTTCTCCCAAGCTAAAGCGCCCCCCCCTTCACTCTCCACTCTGAGAGCACTGCAGGGACCCCAGGAACTGGAACACCCGAGGAAGGGAAAGGAAGGCCAGAGAGAGGGACAGTGCTCAGACCCAGAGTCACATCGTCGGGGCTGCACGCGAAAACCTAGGCTCGGCCCCGGGTCCTTGAAGGGCCCTGGCCAGGTCAATACATCCCGAAGTATCGAGAGCCTTGTGCCGGCCAAGGCTAGCGCTAGTGACCAAAGGCTGCAGCCCGGAGACTGCGAAACGGCCATGTGCCGGGTCTGGCCCTCGCTGGAAGACAGGATTTAAAGATAGCTACATAGTAGCAAAGTCGTATCCGCCCGTGGGATTTGAACTTGTCACCTTCGGGTCCAGGGTACCGCAGCCTAGAGAGAACCCCTTTCGGACCCACCAATCCCTTCCTCCAATCATATCCCGCCCCGGTCCCACTCCAACCAATCATAGGACGACGCTGGAGTTCGGCTATGGGCGGAGGCAGTCCCCAGAGAGCGACAGAGCCAGCGGTCAATAAGAAGCCAGAGAACGAGAGACCGCCCACCGTGCCGTCCAATGGCCGAGAGGCGGCGGCGGCCACGGTTCCCGCGGCCGCAGCTGCTGGTGCCGGTGGCCGCGGGCTGCAGACCCCGGCACGGGGGGGGGGGGGAAGGCGTGGGCTCGCCACTGGCCCCCTTCCCGCCCGTCCGCCCCGTGCCGTCCCCTCCCCTTGCTCGGCAGCCCGACCCGCCGTGGGCCTCACCTGCTGGAAGCGAGGCTTGCCCAGCTGGAAAGGAGGAGTCTCCGCCGAGGCGGCTTCCGCCGCTGCTGCCGCCGCCGCCGCAGTCTCCGCCATGGCCACTGATGCCCGCAATCCCCGGCCCTTTTAAAATGTCCCTCCTCGGCCCCCGCCGCAGCTGCCTCTCCCCATTGGCTGCAGCCAGCCGCAGCGTCAGAGCGGCGCAGGGGATTGTGGGCGAGGTAGTTTTTCTTCTCTGCGCCCCTTCCTGCGCTCCTGGGAAGAGACCATAGAATGGGAAGCCAAGAGAGGCCAGAGCGTCTCCCACAGAACATAGGGCTGGGACTTTGCACCAGCGGCCATCTTGGTATGGGTAGCCAAGTGTGGTTATCAACACCTTGGCAGGGTGTGCCCGATGACTCACAAGATTAGATTTTATGTGTGCAAAAGCAAAGACCAGCCCATCAACTCCTTCAATGGCCCTCAAAACTTTGATTTTCTCTTATGACCTCCTTTAAGGTCAATGCCATCCCCAGCCATTGCCACTAAGACTTAATGGGGCTAATTCTCAGGCAAGGGTGGGTATGAGGATGATGGGTGTGTCAGGCCAACAACAAACACTTATCAAGCTGGTGGGCCCACGGGTGAGACCATCTCCAAGGGGGGTTTCCAGCAGGTTCTCGGAGGACCCCAGCTGGGGAGGGGAGTAGCCCGAGCCACAGAGGCAGGCTACCAACTGGGAGAACTGCCATGCCCCCCCACAAACCCTTCGGTCCCATGCCCTATGTGGCCAAAACCTCCCTGTCCTCTAGAAGCCCCCATTCTAATGCCCAAGGAATAAAGAGTTAGGCCCAGAGGCAGCTTCCCTTGAAAGGGAGCTCAAGCTGTTCCTAGGACTTAGTGCTGGGGACAGCTGGTCAGCCTCTAGACCAAGGGTTCTTAACCAGTGAATAGTCAGCTGGGATTGGAGTTAGAAAGACCCCAGTTCAAATCCTGCCTCAGATACTTCCTGTGTGGACCTCAGGCAAGTCAATTAAGTTTGCCTCAGTTTCCTCAACTGTAAAATGGGGGATAACACCCGCTTCCCGGAACTGTGGTGAGATCAAGTGAGATAACACGTATAAAGCATGTGTTTCAGTGCTGCGCACTGTGGCGGGTGCTAACTGCCAGCTGTGATAATGATGATGAACTTGGGGGGGGGAATGTAGCTTTATTAACCTTTGGCTTCCTTTGTAATCCTATGTATTTTATAAACTTAAAAAAATTTTTTTTGAGGAGTCGATGACAAAAACAAAGTTTAAGAATCTCTGGTCCAGGGGCAGCTAGGTGGTGCAGTGGATAGAGCACCAGCCCTGAAGTCAGGAGGACCTGAGTTCAAATCCAGCCTCAGACCAAACACTTGACACTTACTAGTTGTGTGACCCTGGGCAAGTCACTTAACCCCAACTGCCTAAAAAAAAAAATCATCATCATCTCTGGTCCAGACAGAATCCTGGGGCACTCCTTTGCTAACGGTGAGTTCCAGAAAACATGACTCTCCTGTTTCTGTAAGCCCCTTGTGCCTGGTAGAGTGCCTGAAACACAGCCAGTACTCAAGTTCTTACTGAATCGAGCAGTGCTGGACCTAAGAGGCAGAGAAGCACAGGCACACTCCCAGCTCTTCGGTGTTACTTGTGTGACCCTGAGCTAACACAACCTCTCCGGGCCCAATCCTCATCAGAAAAGTTAGGAAAGGGGTCTGATTAGGGAGTCTCTGAATCTTTGTATGATCCTGCTGGCATGTAGAGGGTCTGTGGTGTCAGGGGCTCACCAGCAGCCTGCCTGTCACTCAGTAAATGGACCACGTGGCCCTGAGGGTCAGCCAGCACCAAAGACAGCACCAAACCCCAGGCTTCCCGACACCACCACGCTCTGCTCCGCAGACTGTAACCCAGCAGAGGTAGCAGGGGGCGCCGCAGTGTACAGAGTGCGGGGCCAGGAGTCAGTGAGACCCAAGGACAAACCAGTCTCAGACACTTGCTAGCCGGGTGAGTCTGGGTTGCCTCAGTTTCCTCACCTGTAAAATAGGGATCCTAAGAGTACCTCCCTGACAGGGGTGTCGTCAGGATTAGAGAGGTCATTTTAAAGGGCTCAGCACGGTGCCTGGCACACAGTGCTACAGACACGTTAGCTATTATTTATCAGTAATCTATTGATAACAAAAAACAAAGACAGGTGGATTGGTTGATGGGGGCCTCATTCAAGTTTCCTTAAAATCTGGCTCGAGGCTAGGAGTCCCAAACGAGGGACAAATCCAAAAGAGGAATCCTACCGCGCCTGCCAATGACAGGGCACAGGATGAACCCGACCAATGGGGGCAGTGTGGTCTGACGCTCTGGGTTCCTGCCCCCCCTACTCCCTAGGTGGGTGATCCTAAGCAAACTTCTTATCCCCGCCCACCCCTCCAAGTGCCTCAGTCTCCTCGTGTGTAAAATGGGGCTAACCACCCTTGCATGGTTGGTGCGAGGAAAGTTGGTGTGAGCCCTCAAGCCGCCACCCCTTCCTGGTCGGGCAGCCCCCATAGCCTGTTGGAGCCACCCCACCCTCGACCCAGTAACTAGACAGAGCCTCCCATGGTAGATGAATCCAATTTTTATTCTTTGTAAAGTGCTTAAAACACAAAGAACAAGCTCTTTAGAAACATGAACTGCAGCAAGGAAGACAAACAGTGAAGCAAAAGGATGTCCACCCTCTGCTGGGCCTCCAGCTTGGGCCAGGGGCAAAAAGACAACACGGAACAACTTGGGCTTCAAACACTTGTGGCTTGGCTGTAGACTCCAGCCCCCTCCCAAAGCCCAGCAAGGCTGGGTCCTTCTCTCCTTGGCTGTGCCCCAAAAGGGATGTTCCCTCCCCCTCCCGCTCCCGGATGTCTGCAGACCCTGGGGAAGGGAGAGGATCAGGGCTGTGAAGGACTCAAAGGCGGTTTTCAAGACAGGCTACTGAGGACAGGGGAGGGCATTGCTTTCAATCTCCAGTAACTCCTACCTACATCAAGACAGCCCACCAAAATTCCATACACATCTGTATACACACACACACACACACACACACACACACACACACACACATACACACACACACACACACTCTCAGGTTTCTCCTCTCTCCAATGACACAGCCCTCCAGAGGCCAAGTCAAGACCCATCACCAGCGGCCTTCCTTGCCCACCTCAGCCTGCCATCCCAGAAGGGGTCCCAGGCTCGCACCCATCACAGCTGCCCTGATGCACCTGTCCAGAGGGTCAGATCCAAGGTGGAAAGAGGGCAGATGGCTGAGGTCAGGCCCCAGGGGCTGCCAGGCCAAGGTGGGCCAGCTGGGAAACATGGGACACCCAGAATGAATGCTTACTTTTTAAAGTGCAACAGCCCAGTTAACTAAGGCAGCTGGGTGGAGAGGGCGAAAATAGCAGCTTGGCTGGCGGGGAATGGGGGGAGGGAAGTGGCTGAGAACTTCCTCCCCCAAGTGCAGCATCCCAGTACCTCCTATGAGACAATATGGCCTGGAAAGGGGGAGGGAGGCAGCGGCAGGCCGGCAGGAACTGGGGAGGGGAGAGAAGAGGGGGCACCCAGCTCCGAAGGAGCCGCAAGGGCACTGAGCTACTTAATAATTCATTGAGTGAAGTGGGAAAAGGGGGATGGTATCAAACCTTACTACCCCCGCCCCAGTTCTGGTTTCCTGGGCTTGAGAACTCATTCATGGAGCTGGCCAGCCATCCATTTTCTCACACTCGGCTCAAGGTTGGGGAGGTGAGCCAGAGGTACCCAGAGCCATGCAGGCAGATGGCCAGGGCAGGGGTGGCCAGGAGCCTCTGCCCCTTCTCTTCGGCAGGGAGGAATGGGGTGCCGGGTGGAAAAAGCCCATCATGGAAAGGGAGGCGGGGCAGGTGGACCTTGGTCCAGACCCCTTCCTGGGCCCCTCCCCACAAGGCACATTTTACATTTTAATGATTTTTTTCTAAGTACAAACCCCGCTGGGCTGCAGAGTTTTGGCATCTGAACGGGTAAGCAGAGAACAGAGAAGCTTTTAAACATTAAAACCCAAACAGATCCCAGAAGAACCCCAGAGACAGGAAGCCTGGGATCACATAAAGACTTGGGGGTTGGGGGCAGATTATTCTTTTGGAGAAACAACAGAACCCAAATCCCTCCCCTGAATAAAATGAACCGAAGACCCAGAGCACACCCCTCGTCCCCAGCTCCATCTTGGCCTCCCCCAAACTGAACCGCAGGGCCACACACACACACACACACACACACACACACACACACACACACACACACACACACAGTGGTGGGGACGGGGCAGCACAGCAGAGTGGTGACAGATGAGCCGGCTGGTTGTCAGGCTCACATTTTGGCAGCTTGCTTCCGAAGAGGTAACACTGGCAGTAACAGTAGGGTGGGGGACTGGGAGAAGCTAGTTCCAGCTGGGGGGGGGGGCGGGGAGGAACACCTGGGCTCAGACAGGGATAGGGAGCATCACTACCGCCCAGGTAGCAGCCCCCCTTACCTGCCCTGTGTTGTCCTTGGAAGACTCTACAGCCCACCCTGGCCCCTGAGCTCCAGCAGGCCCCAAGCGGAGCTGGCCTCCTCCCATCCCAGATCTGTCCCTGGCAGCAGGGGGAGCCCTGACGGGAGCAGAAATAGCTTCCCTTTGGGGCCCTGGCTCCTCCCCTGCCAGGAAGGGCCCAGACTACTCTCCTACAATGCCCTACAATTCCACCATCAACTCTTGGCTGGGAAGACTGCCAGCCCACAGGGTGTGTGTGTGTGTGTGTGTGTGTGTGTCTGTGCGTGTGTGTGTGCACACGTGTGCGGGCACACACATACGAGCCCTCGGGGAGGGAACAAGGGAGGGGGGTTACTTGGGGGCCCGGGGCCCTGGTGGGATCTGCAGCAGCGTTGGGGATGTCTCCATGATGCGCACCAGCAGCTGGTCAATGTAGCTCTCCAGCTCATGCACGTGCTCATCCCGGCGGCTCAGCTCCCGCTCCCGCTGCAGGAGCAGGGTGATCAGCTCATCGTGGGTCAGGTGGTAGTACTTGGCCGACTGGTCTGGCTGCAAGGGGTCCTGATGGCGAGCAGAGCCGAGGGCTGAAGGAGGAACCCTGGGCCCTTCCCCCGCCCTCCTCCCCGAAGGCACTGAGTAGTCAGACAATGAATGGTCCCTGGCGTCAGAGGGCTTCTGTTCTGAGGGGACCCACCACGGGGGCAGCATGGGGCTGCAGCAGGGGGAGAGCACAAACGGGGCGGGCCAGCACTTGTGCACTGTACACGCGCCACAAGCACCACAGCTGTCATCAGACTCGAGGGCCTCCAGGCTGGGCTCTGAGAATGAGGATGGGGGGACCAAAGCAGGAGAGGGCTCCAGGCTCCACGCCTGAGATATCACTACTGACCCAGGGACTCCCAGCCAGTCACAGTCAGGGTGGGACTGGGGCCCAACTACCCCAGGAGATTCCCTTCCAGCCCAGCCTGCTCACCTTCAGCTTCACTTTGGATTCCGCTGTCTGGTCAGCCTGGGGGGCTACAGGCGGAATGCTGCCCGAAGTGACTGTCTTGAGTTTCTCCAACCCACTGGTCAGGGCTGAGCTCAGGCTAGATCGAGGTGGCTTCCTGTCTACAGACCCCTCTGGGGGTGCCGAGCTGAGGGGCTTCACAGGGTGGGGGCTGGGGAGACAAGGGGAGAGTTGTCAGACAGGAGCCTCAGTGGGATGAATTTCAGAGGCTCTCTGATCCCCTCCATACCTGAACCAGCACCTAGCCTGAAGGCCGCCCCAGATGGCCCCTTCTTAGCCTAAAGCGGCCCCTTGGCTCCCGATTCCCCTTCTGAGGCCAAACACTCCCCACAGGACAGGGCTTCAGATTCCTTAGGCAGCCGTTTCCAGCCCCCAAGCCTTCTCTGCTCCACACTAGACACACCCAAGGCCCCCTAACCATCCTCAGAAGGCCCTTCAGACCCCCGGGGGCCCTGCTCAGGACACTCCCCTTCCTCCAACGTGGTCTTCGGAAGGGAAATCACAACAAAAGCAATGACACCCTGTAGCAGGAGGCAGTCATCTTTTAAACCTGTCCTGAGATCACTCAATCAGCATCTCAGAAGGGACCTCAGGGGCACTTAACTCTGTGTCTAAAACAACAACGAAGTTAAATCCAACAACCCTTTACTAAGAACCTACAAGTGTGTGCAGACTCCCTGGAATAAGGGACAGTTCTGATGGGCTCTCATCATGTGACAGCAGTGGTCACAGGCGTGTGCTTCTACTGAGCCCGGGCAGACTCAGAACTGACCTTGACCACGTGCAGCCAGATTGAGCTGATCTCCCCCACCTTTAATCAGTGCTCTGTGAGTTAAGTTTTGGATTTTGTACCACGCACATGTTTCACTACTTCATTTTTAACTGTGTGGTTCTTAAGAACAGACGTCATTCTAGGGATAAATGCAAAAGTTGTAAATTTTAAAGAGCATACTTTAATGACTATTAGAGATATTGCACTGGCTGTTGGTGTGGGAAAAGCAAGCATTTCAAGGATCATCAAAGCCCTCCACAAGGTAGGACTGGGTGCACCTAGACCCAAAAGAAAACATGGTCCAGGGCAGCTAGGTGGTGCAGTGGATAGAGCACTGGCCCTGGAGTCAGGAGGACCTGAGTTCAGATGCGACCTCAGACACATAACACTCCCTAGCTGCGTGACTCTGAGCCAGTCATTTAACCCCAATTGCCTCACATAAAAAAAAAAAATCACAGTCATTTAAATGGCAAACCACTCCAGTATATTTTTGCCAAGAAGACCCTAAATGGGTCACAAAGAGTTGGACATGAATGGAATGATTGAACAACAACCTTAATACCGGATTCAGGTCTCTTTTTTTCATTTTTAATTTATGCAATAAAACAAGCATTTCCATAATGTAGTATAATAAAAAGATGATTGCCTTGAAACTGCTAATCTATTATGCATAACTTGCTATTGCTTTTAAATACATAATAAAATCATCAAGTTAAAAAAAAAAGAAAATGTGGTTCAAAATGAAAAAAACAAACTATTGTTTTCAAATGAACTAATCCTCAGAAAACCAGCAAACAAGGACCTGAGAGCTGCAAGACATGTTTCTAATTCTATCACGGTCCATGACGCAGGCTTTTAAAACCAAAAGAACAGTGAGAAAGTCGGTTTGGAGAACAAGTCGCTAACCATTGCTGTGAAGAAAAAACCCTTGTCACAGCCTGGATCACATGAAGACGCAAATACTAAAGACTGCGAAAGGTCATTTTTGCTGATGAGCCTCACTTTTTCATTCCAAGCTTTATACCAAAACAATAGTCCAATATAAGCCCAAGTGAGCCTCTAAAATCTAGGTACGTTCATTAAACTGTAAGACATCCACCCCACTTCCCCCGGAAAAAAAAAATTGGTTCTGGGGAGGATTTTTTGTTTTTTGCTCCCAGTGGGCCCGACTGGTTTGATGATGAAAAATTAAGGAATATGGATTAAACTCTTGTGAACTCAAGGCCAAATCATTATTTTTAAAAGTTATTGCAGCAAAGAGATACAATGCATAATAAAAAAAAAATTAAAGATATAAAGAGTTGCAAGGTTTACTCTAAAGTCGCTTTACTTTGTAACAAGGACCTGTTACATTCCCTTTTGCTACATTCCCTTTTGCCCGCTGCCTCACCCTGGTCCAAGGCCTCATCACTGAGTCGGCCTGCCTCAAGTCACTCAGCCACGAGATCCAGTCATGCGGCTCCCTGTGGCCTCCAGCACCAAAGCCCTTCATCACCTGCCCCACTGTCACGCACTTTTGCAGGATTCTTATCCCCTGCCTACACCATCCCACTCCAAAGAAACTCCCATCTCCTAGCTGAGCATTTTCACTGGCTGTCCCTCCAAGTCCCAGCTAAAATTCCACCAGGAAGCCTTTCCTAACCCTTCTTAATGCTAGGGTCTTCCCTCTGATAATCCCCACTTCATCCTGTACATATCCTGTCTTACAGGGCTGTTTGCTTGTTACCTCCCCTACAAGACTGCAAATTCCTTGAGGGTGGGGACTTTAAGCCTTTCTTTGTATCCTAAGTACTTAGCACAGTGCCTAGCAAATGCTGTTTAGTAGGTATTTTAGCTGTGTCTGACTCTTCAGTACCCCATTTTGGGGTTTTCTTGGCAAAGATTCAGGAGTGGTTTGCCATTTCCTTTTCCAGCTCATTTTACAGATGAGGAAACTGAGGCAGACAGGGTTAAGTAACCTTGCCCAGGGTCACACAGCTAGTAAGTGTCTGAGGCCAGATCAGAACTCAGGAAGATGAGTCGTCCTGACTCCAGGCCAAATGCTCTATCCACCGTGCCAAAAATAGTAGGCAATTAATAATTGCTAGTTGCCTGACTAACAAATCTATTCCAGACAGGCATCGGATGTTGGATAGAGAGCAAGACCTAAGAGTCAGAAAGCCTGGGGCAGCTAGGTGGCACAGTGGATAGAGCTATGGCCTTGGAGTCAGGAGAACCCGAGTTCAAATGCAGCCTCAGACACTTGACACTTCCTAGCTGTGTGACCCTGGGCAAGTCACTTAACCCCAATTGCCTCACCAAAAAGAGAGAGAGAGAGAGAGAGAGAGAGAGAGAGAGAGAGAGAGAGAGAGAGAGAGAGAGAAAGCCCCTATCCAACACAAACAGGCCAGGTGACTCTAGGCAGAACACTTAACCTCTAAATGCTCCAAAGCAACCCCTTATCCCAAAATTTGTGATGTGAAGCTGAAGTAGGCCATCAAAAAAAGAGGGAAGTCAGATCAATGACTTAAGCGTGCCGTTACAAGGCCCAGACTGAGCCAGACTGCTTGTGTCTGGTGGTGTGCTGCACAACACCACGGAGATGTGCAACAGCAGAAGCAGAAGCAGAGAAGGAACTCCAAGGGAAAAACCAAGAATAAAACTAGACGCGAGGCCTCAGCCCCAGGGACGCTGAGGAACTGCAGAGCACACAGCGGAAAGCACCCCAGCACTTGAAGGGACCTCGGAATGAAGTAGTACGAGGATCGGGAGAGGGACTGGCAACGATGACCCGGACGAGAGAAGACTTGGGGGTGTCTGCAGGGCCTCCGGAAGATACCCAGACACAAATGCTCCAGTGCAGGCAATAAGCAATTCACCTCGGTAGGAGGGACGTGTGATGACAGGGCCTTCTGCAAGGATACAGATCTTCAAAAAGCACCTCCTGCACTGGAAATCTAGACCTACGAGGAGGTTTCAGGGGCTGTCCAGTCCAGCTCCCTGATAGTGCGGATGAGGAAAATGAGGCCCACAGAGGCAAGGACTTCATAGCTCTGAGCTAGGACCTCCATGGCTGCCTAGGGCAACTCACTGATTTTACACATGGGAAAATGAGGGCATTAGGGGGTGCCACGGTGCAAAGAGCACCAGGCCTGGAGTCAGGAAGACTCCTCTTTCTGAGTTCAAATCTGGCCCCCTACACTTACCAGCTGTGTGACCCTGGGCAAGTCACTTAACCCTGTTTGAGAGAGATTCCAGTATCTCTGCCAAGAAAACCCCAAATGGGGTCACAGAGTCAGACATGAGCCAACAACAACTACCAAACAAGGGTCCTTGGTGGGCTGAAAGCCCAGGGAGGAGAAAGCACCAGAGCAGGCTGAGGCCAGGAGCTGGGTGGTGACAGGCCCAGGGACACAGGCAACCAATGCCAGGACTCAGAACTTTTCATGAGAGTCTGCAGGCCTGGTTGCTACAGTCACTCCCAGTGCAGCCTCAAGCCATACCCTTCTCCCACTCTTCTGCAGGATGGGAACATGACACTTGCCCTGGTGAGCCCGCAGGGTGGGTATGAATCAGGTGAAATGACTGGCACCTGCTCCAGTCCATGCAGAGACCCAATAGTCCCTGCCCTCCAGGCGCCTACATTCTCTTACATGGGGGGAACAGGATAGCCACGGATGAGTCCACAGAAAACAGAGGAGGAAGAAATGCACGGTGATCTCAGTCACCAACAGCTAGAAGAACACTGGCAGGGGAGGTCCCATTGTAGAGATGAGGAAATGGAGGCGTGGAAAACTTGACCATGGCCTCGGCTGACACGTGTGAGAGCCAAGAGGCCAACTGGGTGTGTCCAGACTCCACGGGCCAGGGCTCTTCCCACTAGACCACCCTGCCTGCCTAAGATATAGTGAAAACAAGGGCCTCCCTCTGAGCTGTGGCTGAGGCTGAAAAACACACACACACACACACACACACATGTTCTTCAGGCACTCATAAGCACATGAGGAAATGATTCCATTTTAATTTCACTGAGAAAATTGGTGACAGTATTACTTGTCCAAAAACATGGCCGAAGACAGTGACAGTGTTCTGAATCTATATGCTCTTCTGTAGATTTTCAAGGCAGCATGACCCAGTGGAGAGAGCCCACCTAAAGTTAGGAAGACTTAGGTTAAGAGTTACCTCTGCTAAACTGTGGCTGCATAATTCCCAGAGGTAGGCTCTCTGGGGCATGGCAGGAGACACCTTTAAGGCTAATCTGAATTATTAACATTTTCTCTGTCATTAAGTCTAAACAATCAACAAAACAATAAACTCTGATCTGTAGCATCTGCAGATTTCCAATTTCTGACTGTAAATGCTCCCACTGAAAATTTAACAATTTGTGAGCTGGCTCTGGC